CCATCTTGTGTTGTGATGGCATTGTTCACGGTCGCACAGGGGCACTCATGGTCCGGCTGAAACACGGGAATCGCTCGGTGCTTGGATTTCAGATTGTTCCAAGATGGAAGCAACTTTTTGGGGGTTGTGGACGGACGGGCGGGTTTATCTGCGGAGAGACGAGCTTTTGAGAGGAAGTCGCATGAACCGATTCTTGGTCTCCTCATGTCATTTTTTTTCTCTCAATTTGGACAGGTAAGAGAGACCTGGCTAGACCGAGATAGATACATCACGCTATCAACGGCACCTGGGATTCCGAGACTCGGGTGGATTGAGTAGTCGTAGCAGCAGCAAGCAGCAATTCGACTTAGTCTCCCAGTCGGTGGGATGGATGGCCATGCCGGTTCCTATTAGTTTGTCTGTTTGGCTGTTCCCAATTGAGGTGAGGGGTTACCCCTCATGCAGCATTGCCACTAGTCTAGATATGGGATAGTGGCGATACGGAGACAACCCCTCGTGAGGGGGAGTAACAGCTATCCCAATTGGGAACAGAAGTCAGCAGAAGCAGTAATTCTGTCCGCAGACATCGGTGGATACACTAAATGGCAAGAGTGGATAGCAAGAGTGGATAGCAAGAGAATTGACTGAATTGAGCTAAAAGATCCTCCCTCAACGATACCCGTAGGAAAGGAAGGTCCATTTGGCCATTGTCACTTGCGGATGACAGACAGGCTGGCAGGTTTTCCGTTTCCCCATGGAAACTCTACGCCCGACATACCTCCGGCCCTGCAGGCACTCTCGGCCCAGGCTCGGGTTCCCCTCACGAGTCCCATTAAGCATGCCATGCCTTTTCTTTTCCCAATGGTTTCTAGATTTCTGAAACCCCGCATGGCCGTGGGCAAACCCCTGCAGTAGGACATATGTTGGGATGGCAATTAATCTGTGACTGAGATTGGAGTTATACAATCAATTATATTGTTGTATTGGTTTTCAGTTGCTTTACCGCTATGATACTACTGCTTGCATTTTCCCATTAAGGCTCATCCACTACATTAGGTGTGGTCTAGTTCAATACATACTAGTATACTCCGTAATGTGTCAACTGCCCGAGGTGTGGATTTCAAGCTTTCGACGGTATCGATCTATACAAACCTAACCTAGAGCCATCCGACCATCCGCGGCTGTCTATGTGCTACTAGACTAGTTTACAGTAGTACTTGTCCCGCGTGCGGAGACAACAACTGGACCGAAACGTCGTCCGTGCCGATGCGAAACTGCCGCCAACCCGGACGATCGCCCAACTTCAATTGCTGGCTGGTGGGGTTCCAGTTCCTTGCTCCAACTCTCGGGGCTGATTTGAGGGTCCCAAACTATTCCCCCCTCTCCTGCCACTTGCTGGGTCAGACCCAGATGATGGCCTTGTGCTACTACTGCCTGCTTGGTGCCCTCCTATCCGGATTTGGCGCCATCCTATCGCAGATGTGGATGGAGCACCCTTTCTGAATATGGGCCAAGAGGGGATGGAGGGGGGGCAATTGTGGTGCTCACTTACATAGTACAGTTAAAAAAAAAAAAAAAAAAAGAGGACCCAGTGAAGTCTATATATTTGGCGAAATTCCCCGTCCTTGTCAGTCTCATTCCATCCTCATCTCTCTGCATCTGCATCTCATCGCATCACAACTTGTCTCCTCATCATACTTTGCTCATCCCTCTCCAAGGTTTCTTGAAACTCCACCGCCGCTTTCGGTAAGCCACCCCTGCATCATCATCCTCCATCTGGCATCGGCTCTGCCCTGTGGCATGCTTGCCTGCCATCCATAGTTGCTTCTCCACACATGCTTTCCTGTCTCCCCGCTTCCCCTTGTTCGCCGTTGCTACTGTTGTTGCTGCTTGCCGCTCATTCGGCTTCCCCGACTTTGCAATCCGATGCATCTACTACTACTTCCCACGTTCTCCAAATCCGGGATGTATTTAAACCTCAAGCTGACCCTCCTGCCATAGGTATCTTACCAGCATCCCAACAATCCCATCTCTACATCATCTCATCTCATTTTACTTAACTCATCTTCACAATGGTATTTATGCGCTCTTTCTCCCGCCAACTTCGGCGACCTGCCACCTCTCTTCTCTCCAAGGGAGCCTTCGCGCCCGCGGCCAGCAGCCCATTCCGGGCTGCTCCTCTGGCTAACTCGATCGCTGGTGCACGTACGCTAACCGCCTCCGCGAATCTACAGGGCAAGGTTCTTATGGTCCTCTATGACGTAAGTACCCGGATAGCATCACTTTCTTCTGCTCGTAAATCACCAGATGCTAACCATCTCCAAATAGGGCGGTGAGCACGCCAAGCAGCAGCCCGGTCTTCTGGGTACCACCGAGAACGAGCTCGGCTTGAGGAAGTGGCTCGAGGAGCAGGGTCACACTCTGGTCACCACCTCCGACAAGGAGGGCGAGAACTCGACCTTCGACAAGGAGCTCGTCGACGCTGAAGTCGTCATCACCACTCCGTATGTGACCCACTTCACTACCCAGAGTTATCCGCCCCAGGGAACTTGGCAACTACGGGAACTAAATAGCTGACTGGTTGCCCGCAATAGCTTCCACCCCGGTTACCTCACTGCTGAGCGTCTGGCCAAGGCCAAGAACCTCAAGATCGCCGTCACTGCTGGTGTCGGTTCCGACCACGTTGACCTGAACGCTGCCAACAAGACCAATGGCGGTATCACCGTCGCCGAGGTCACCGGCTGCAACGTCGTCTCCGTCGCTGAGCACGTTGTCATGACCATCCTGACCCTGGTCCGCAACTTCGTTCCCGCCCACGAGCAGATCCGCCGCGGCGAGTGGGACGTTGCCGCTGTCGCTAAGAACGAGTTCGACCTCGAGGGTAAGGTCGTCGGTACCGTTGCCGTTGGCCGTATCGGAGAGCGTGTCCTCCGCCGTCTCAAGCCCTTCGACTGCAAGGAGCTCCTCTACTACGACTACCAGCCCCTTTCCCCCGAGGTTGAGAAGGAGATCGGCTGCCGCCGCGTCGACGACCTCGAGGAGATGCTCGCTCAGTGCGATGTTGTCACCATCAACTGCCCCCTGCACGAGAAGACCCGCGGTCTGTTCAACAAGGAGCTCATCTCCAAGATGAAGAAGGGCTCTTGGCTCGTCAACACCGCTCGTGGTGCCATCGTTGTCAAGGAGGATGTCGCCGAGGCCGTCAAGTCTGGCCACCTCCGCGGATACGGTGGTGACGTCTGGTTCCCCCAGCCTGCCCCCGCCGACCACCCTCTGCGCACCGTCCAGGGCCCCTGGGGCGGCGGCAACGCCATGGTTCCTCACATGTCCGGTACCTCCATCGATGCCCAGATCCGTTACGCCAACGGTACCAAGGCCATCCTCGAGAGCTACTTCTCCGGCCGCCACGACTACCGCCCCCAGGACCTCATTGTCCACGGCGGTGACTACGTTACCAAGGCCTACGGTCAGCGCAACAAGGCCTAAATGGAAGACGATGATGATGAGATGCATGGATCGATCTGTATTCGGCCTATTTCCTCCCGTTATGATTAGCTTATGATACCTGAAATCAAAACTTTTTCTTACTGTTCACACTGTTAGTCTTCGAATTTGTTCTCACTAACGTAGACTCGTAATTCCTCGGACTCTCCCCGCGATCATCCCAGCACCAACACAGCACTCCAGTCAGACCAATAATCAATAACGCCCCTCTCTCCCCAAATCCAAACCAATCCAGTCCACAAACTCAACAATGGACTCGACTCGAACTCCAGCTCGTCATTTTAGTCCAACTTTCTTCATCATTACCAAGTTACCATATTCAAACCCACAATTTACTCCCCACCAAGCAGAAAGATAAAAGCAGGTAGTGGGGCGCCGATCACCCCCCAAAAGCACAAAGCTTGACCACAGCAAACTTCCCCAGCAGGCCAGAACCACGGACCAGCGTCTGATTTAGTGGGAGACTAGTATACACATTACGATTTTTCAGGTCTTATGATTATTGCTTTGCTCTGGTAGTGATATTTGAGTTTGTATAGTTTCGGATGATATACTTTTGTTGGTTTAGTGATCTGCTCTTTTCTTTCTATTTCCCTTGTGTTATGGATTTGTTTAGGTCGGGTTGGGTTCGGCTGGGGGACCTAGGTAGTTAGTAGTAGTCGCTTGTGAAGGGAATTAGGGTATGTACAGTAGTACCTTCTTCTTTGGGTTGTTTGTTTGGGGTTAATTTGATTGATGGGGGTTTGGAGAATTGAGTTACGACGTGGGGTTGGAGACAAAGTAAGGGGTTGTTTGTTGGTAGTCCGGACGGACGGAGTTGATATTTCATGGTGGTGATTATCAGTGCATGCATTGGTCTAGATATGTACGCATGCAGGTAGTTTAGTAGTGCCCATTGAGTTTATCTAGACAGACATGCATTGGGCTCTATCTGTACTACCGCAAAGGTTCAGCAAGAATAGATGTCTATTATATCTATTACCCATCCCAAACGCCAATGGTTCCTTACATGGTGGTGTAATATGTACAGAAGGAACAGAAATCAGCGACGTGACTGAGCATGGGCATGTCCCTCGTCATCATCACTATCATCCATGAACCCCGCTTCAAGTTCACGACTCAAGCGACTCTCCGCATCTCCGGCGGTGCTCCGTCGACGCTCGAGCGCTTCTCGCCGTGAAGGGTCCATGTCCATCCCTACCATGATCTCTCCCTCTTCATCGTATATACTGATGTTGTCGTGCTGGTCGAATTGTGATTGTCGCCAGACCGACGGAAGGAATCGTCGCATCAAAGCATCCGCAATACGATCCCGGAGTGTCGTAGTATGTGCGGAGATAGTATGGAGCGGAAGGTACTGGGAGTAGCGTTGATGATAGCGACGGAAGAAGGGGATGATCACGAAGGAGAACAGGAGGTAGAGCGTCAGGGAGATCACGGCGGGGATGATGATGGTCTGCGTAGAAAGTGTCAGTTAGAAGGATTTCGGAAGAATTAGGAGAGTTCGAGAGAGGGCATACTTTGGCAAAGTTAGTTGCGGAACCCATCGTGGCGTGTGTGTGTGGTGCTCAGCGCCTTTCCTGTAACGATCTTGATCTCGAGAATGCGCGGCCAAGGCAGCAGCGGAAAGGAAGTAGATAGACAGGCGCCAAACACACAGCGCCAAATCAAGCCAATAATCCCCGATTAACAGCGGAAACTTGTCATGTCCTGCGACGGCGCTTAGAGTAGTCCGATGTGACTGGCAGGCTGACCGTCCCCCGACGCTGAGTTACCAGTTGGTCTTCTGCAGCAACGGCAGCAATCCGGGGTCTGCCCTGAATCTGACACTGACAGCATCTCCGAGAGTCTCCGGCATGAGACAGCTCCACGTGATCGGAGGTGGAGGGCCAGTTTCCTGAGGCATGCATGGTGTAATTCACGTGATACCTCCGGCCCCTACCGCGTTCTAGAGCCGCCTCAAGTGGTGCTGCCCCCCCTGATGCCCGTGCTTCCACGACCTGACGTGCAAAAAGACTCCAGCCACTAAAGCCCGATCCTGGGATTTGCCAGAGTAGGATAGCCCTACTGGGAGCCGTCATTACAGACCGCTCCTTTGACTCTCATTTCTTCAAGTCGCCTTCTCCATCTGTTTGTTGGGAGAAGCGTCCGTCTTTGGTGGCATCCTTCCCCCCCCCCCCTCGTGCCAACGCTGCTCCGCAGCGGCTATTAATTAGTGTTAGTCAGGAGTGTCTGGAATAAGTTGTCGCCTTGAGCTGGATGTGATCCTGGCCTTCGCAGAGATTGAGAGCGACCGATTCTTCTCAATCTACAGCCTCCGACGACTGTCTGCCACCTCAACGCTCCTGCCCCAGCGGATTACGCTCATGCTGCGCCCTGCATCTCCCCAGCGACGTCCGTCAAGATGCCAACCACCACGTCCGCGCCTGACAAATCGAGACAGACTTCCGCTGGGAAATCGTTCTTCGGGAGGAAGCTGCACAAGGAGAAACCGGTAGACGATCGCCACGATGCCCATACAGGCTTCGAGACCCTCGCGCCTCCTGGAAGCGCCCCGGGTTCTCGTTCCTCTCGCCATTCCAAGCGATCCTCCGTCCAGTCTATGGATTTTTCCAACGAAATCGATCCTGCAGCGCTGTCAATGACGGCTGGTGTGATTACCTCTATCCCCTATGAAAGTCTCCCCGCCGACACCAAGTCGCCGATTCCCATCGACTATCTCTCTAAAGCCGAAACCTCGCCACGCAAAGAACCATCCCCGAATCATCTTGCCAAGGGAGGCAGTGATTTCCATCAGTATCCCGCTTGGAACCCAGCCACTATCCGGGACAATAATGTTTATTCTCACCCCACCGGCCCTCGTCCGCCGCCACATGCGTCTAATGTAACAATGGCGGGAAGCTCTTCGGGGGACAAAGGTGCTCGGTATCAACAATGGGGACGACCGGGTAGCTCGGCTGCCAATACAGGATTCAGTCACAACTCTTCATCTACAGTAGATTCCTCGTCGCATTCCCGAATATCGTTCGACCAGGCCAGTGTCCACTCGTCACTTTCCTCCAACACCCGGGACACTAGAGGTTCGAGCTATTTTTCGTCGGACGGATCTTCTCGAACACTGACAACCTCGCACTCTGCCGACCGCAATACCTACTCATCTAATGGAACCTCTAGCCGACTCTCTAATGCGCAGGCTGCGTGGCAGTCGGCCCAGCCCGCGCAACCCGCGAAGTTACCAGCCAACCCCGAGCAATACCTGACCCGTCCAAGGGACGATCGGATTGTGGACCAGCTGTTTCTGGAATTGATGCAGAAGCGAGGCTGGCAGAACTTGCCTGAGCAGGCCAAACGGCAGATGCTTGCGTATCCAGCCTCGAAAAAGTGGACGCTGGTTCATCAAGATCGGTTGACGGAAATTCAGGGCGAACAGAAGCGCAGGCAGAATGCCCGGCAGACCCATGGTCACGATGGGCCGTCGGGGATTCTGGAGCGGGCCGATGAAGAGGGAAGCCCAGAGTGGTACGTGAAGAAGGTTATGGATGATTCAATCACGTCGAAACAATTAGCTAGTTTGAGCGTCAGTCTGCGCACACAACCAATCAGTTGGGTGAAAGCCTTTGTCGAAGCACAAGGCCAAATCGCCCTGACCAACGTTCTTGCTAAGATCAACCGGAGGAAAGCTTCAGGTCCTGTTCCTGCACCCCCGACTGGTGACAAGGACTTGGATCGTGAATACGATATTGTCAAGTGCCTGAAGGCTTTGATGAACAACAAATATGGCGCAGATGATGCCCTCGCTCATCAGCAGGTTATTGTTGCTCTCGTCAGCTCGCTGCTGTCTCCTCGATTAAATACAAGGAAGCTGGTCAGTGAAGTATTGACCTTCCTTTGCCATTGGGCAGAAGGCCAGGGCCATCAAAAAGTCCTCCAGGCTATGGACCATGTGAAGAACCACCATGGAGAGACTGGTCGCTTTGATGCCTGGATGCGTATCGTCGAAGTGACGATCGATGGCCGTGGAAAGATGGGTAGCTTGGTGGGCGCGAGTGAGGAGTACCGCAGCGGTGGTATAGGCATGGAGAACCTTCTCATGGAGTATGCCGTCTCAACCATGCTCCTCATTAACATGTTGGTGGACGCCCCGGAGAACGACCTACAGCTGCGCTGTCATATTCGTGCGCAGTTCACCTCTTGCGGCATCAAGCGTCTCATGACTAAAATGGAAGGTTTCCAATATGAGGTCATTGACAAGCAGATTGAGCGCTTCCGCGAGAATGAGGCCATCGACTACGAGGATCTTCTGCAGCGTGAGAGTAGCAGCGTGAAGGATAGCATCGAGGGCGAGGTCAAAGACATGAACGATCCTCTACAAATCACAGATGCTATTGCTTCAAGGATTACAGGTACTCGAGCTCACGACTACTTCCTCTCTGCTATGCAGCACATGCTTCTTATCCGGGAGAACTCTGGCGAAGATGGTCTCCGGATGTACCAGCTCGTCGATGCCATGCTTAGCTACGTGGCCATGGATCGCAGGCTACCCGATCTGGACCTCCGCCAAGGTTTAACATTTACCGTGCAGAGCCTCTTGGACAAATTACATACAGATTCAGAGGCAAGACAGGCGTACGATGAATCTTTGGAAGCGCGTCAGATTGCGGAGGCTGCCTTGGCAGAGCGGGATGAGATGAAGGCACAGATTGAGCTGGGTGCAGACGGCCTAGTAAAGAAGTTGCAGAAGCAAATTGAAGAGCAGACTGGCATCATCGAACTTCAACGGAGACGGGAGGAGTCAATACGGGCTGAGCTCGCCGATGTTCAACGCTTGCGTGCTCAGGAGTTGCAACGGAACGAACTGGAAACCAGAGAGCTCTACCTGATGCTTCGGGATGCCCAGGACATCGCTGCTTCAAATGCCAAGAAGAACAACCTCGCAGAAGTCGATCCGTCCCATATGAGGGGCATCATGGATCGTGAAAAGCTCCTTGAGCGGTTGGAGATGCAACTCGAGCGCACCAAGACCCAGTTCAAGTTGGAGGGCAAGGTATGGGGTCAACATGTGACCTCAGACCGGCTGCGCGAACTTCGTGAGCAGATGGACGGCGATGTTGAGCCGCAAGATGGGTTCCAGGACCAGGCTCATCACGTTGCGGGCTTGGGATCTGTTCAGCGCAAGCGCAGCCATCTGCCCGGCATGGAGAAGGATACTGTCGAGGGCCAGCAGCAAGAGGGCCAGGTGGATGAGAACGGAGAGATCATCTATGAGAGGGCGCGTCTGGTCGACCTCCATCGGCCACGACTTAACCCTAAGCAGGCGAACGGCCTCCTGGGAGAAATTGCCTCGAGGGTACCTAAGATCGACGCAGACGATAACGAAGCTACACCTGTTGTTCCCGAAGCCACGGCGCCTGTCACCGACGAACCCAAGGTTGAGAGTGAAATTGAGAAGCCCGAGGCCAAGGGGGCGCCCGCTCCACCCCCGCCGCCGCCGCCGCCACCACCACCTCCTCCGGGAGCTGTGGGAATTCCTCCTCCGCCCCCTCCCCCTCCTCCGCCACCGCCTGGTGGTGCCGTTGGAATCCCTCCTCCCCCTCCCCCTCCCCCTCCGCCGCCGCCGGGAGGAAAGGTTGGGATCCCCCCTCCACCTCCTCCGCCCCCTCCTCCAGGCGGTGCAGGATTCCCGCCGCCGCCTCCACCTCCACCAGGTGCTTCATTTGGTGCCCCTCCTCCCCCACCTCCTCCTGGCGCAGGCTTTGGAGGATGGCGAGCCAACTACATGGCCTCCCAAGCCCTTCCTCAACACAAGACAGCTCTTATGCCTTCTATCCGGCCAAAGAAGAAGCTCAAGGCTCTTCACTGGGAGAAGGTTGATGCTCCACAGGTAACGGTGTGGGCAGCTCACGCTCCCACTGCGCAGGAGAAAGAAGAGAAATATGTAGAGTTGGCTAAGAAGGGTGTCTTAGATGAGGTTGAAAGACTCTTCATGGCGAAGGAGACCAAGATCTTCGGAGGCAATGCAGCAGCGAAGCAGCGCAAGGACAAGAAACAGCTCATCTCCAACGAGCTGTCCAAGAACTTCCAGATCGCAATGGCCAAGTTTTCGCAATTCCCTGCCGACGATGTGGTGCGCATGATCATTCATTGCGATACAGACATTCTGGACAACCAGGTCGTCATGGAGTTCCTGCAGCGGGACGAGATGTGCACAATCCCCGAGAATATTTCCAAGTCGATGGCGCCCTACAGCAGGGACTGGACCGGCCCCGATGCTGCTAGTGCGGAGCGAGAGCAAGACCCCAACGAGCTCACGAGGGAAGATCAGATCTACCTATACACCGCGTACGAGCTCAACCACTACTGGAAGGCGAGAATGCGCGCTCTCGCGTTAACTCGGTCTTTCGAAGTTGATTATGAGCATATCTCCGCCAAGCTGCAACAAGTGGTGAAGGTCAGCGAATCTCTGAGAGACTCTGTTTCTCTGATGAATGTCCTGGGTCTAATCCTGGACATTGGTAACTTCATGAACGATGCCAACAAGCAGGCTCAAGGTTTCAAGCTGAGCTCTCTTGCCCGGCTGGGCATGGTCAAGGATGACAAGAACGAAACCACTTTTGCTGATTTAGTGGAGCGCATTGTCCGTAACCAGTATCCCGAATGGGAGGGCTTCGTGGACGAGATCAATGGTGTCGTCGCTATCCAGAAGCTCAACGTCGACCAGCTGCGGACGGATGCGAAGAAGTACATTGACAACATCAAGAATGTACAGGCCAGCTTAGACGCCGGAAACCTCAGTGACCCCAAGAAGTTCCACCCCCAGGATCGCGTTAGCCAGATCGTTCAGCGGAGTATGAAGGATGCTAGACGGAAGGCCGAGCAGATGCAGCTCTACTTGGATGAGATGATCAAATCCTATGATGACATCATGGTCTTCTATGGAGAAGACAATTCCGATGAGGGTGCCCGCCGAGACTTCTTCGCGAAGCTGGCTTCCTTCTTGCTAGAGTGGAAGGTGAGTTTGATTGTCCAGTGTCATCTAAGAATGTTTGCTAACCAATGGTCGTGCAGAAATCTAAGGAGAAGAACATTTCGCTGGAAGAAAGTCGGAGACGCACCGAGGCGTCCTTGGCTCGCAAGCGGAATATCAATGCCGGGCTTGCCAATGGCGCCGCCTCTGCAAGTGACGCTCCACCGTCGCCAGCTACAAGCGGGGCCATGGATTCGCTCCTGGAGAAGCTCCGCGCCGCAGCGCCGCAAGCCAGAGACCAGCGTGACCGCCGCCGTCGTGCTAGGCTAAAGGAGCGACACCAAGTTCGTGTCGCTTCCGGCCAAAAGATGCCGGATGTTGCTGGAGCTGAGGCACCAGAAGGAGGGAACGAAGCCGAAAACGATGGTAGCAACAGCAAGGCGGGCAACGACAATGATAGCGAAGCAAATGCCGCCGCGTCAGGGCTGCTGAGTCCTCCCCTCCTTGAAGCAGAAACCTCTGAGAGCAAGAAGGACCCGCAACATGTGTCGGAAAGCGAAGACGTGGCGGATCGTGCCGCGAGCATGCTGCAGGGCCTTCGTGATAACATGGACGGCGACCGAATGAGAAGACGCCGAGAAACAGCGGAAGAAGAGCGTCGGAAACGCAGGTTACGGAGACGAAACGGAGGCAGCACCAGCAATAACAGCGCCGAGGGCTCTGCGGCCACCTCCGTGCCCGAACCCATTTCGCCTCCCAGGACAGATTTGGAGCCGGATGATGCTACAAGTCCTCGATCTGGAGACGATCCCCTTCCACAACCGCCCCTGACACCGGCAATCGTGGTATCACCAACAGCAGACCAACAGCTTCGGTCGCCTGGTGACGATGAACTGATGGAAGGCTCACCGTCGAGCAGATCCATTGAGTAGTTGGGCAACTATTGCCTTTCTACTACCATCCTTCTTTTATTGATTTCATTTCATTTGCCCATTTCTTCTTTTATCTTGCATCCTTTCCTCCTTGTCCGCAAGGAGTGTCTTTCCTCCCCTCTTTCCTAATCTAATGTTTGATAGACTAACTCATGTCGTCTCGGAAAGATCTCATTATGCTGTTTTGAGTGTATACTATGCCAGGATGAACTTACCCCCTTTTTCTCTGGCTTGCCTGGCTTTCTGAATTTCTTCCTTTCTCCGGGCATCCCTCCGCATTTTCTTCGAAAGTACATTGTTCCCCTTTTTTCCAGCGATTCCCAATCACCCTTCACACTCCTACTTTATCCATTGCTTCTCACTGTTGCTCCGGTCATTTCTTTGTGTACATACTTCCTTTCGCTCTGCTTTTTTCTTCATTCTCCGTTTATATCTGCATGTCGTTCGAGCCGTTGTTGCATTTGGGCTACGGGGAAGGAATCCGTGGCGCATGGCCGAGGTTTTGTGTCTTTTCGGCGCGCAGGCGTGGCGAAGGGGCGCAGGGCCCTTGTGATCTGGCTTTCATACATCTACTGGATTCCTGGATCTGTCTACATGAATACCTTGTCTTGCATAGGCTGCTACTGTAGTTCTTGAACCCTACCTGCCATACACTACAGCATTCTTTCGTAACCTAAACTCCACTTCTTCCTCCGCGGGAATATCACGTGACCCCGGCGATGCGGCGAATCTCCTCGATGAACCTCTCCTTCTCTCATGCCTCGAAAACCAGCGATTGCTCTTCGCTTGTTCATTGCGCCTATCCGGGTTCATCTCGCGTATGCGATCACCGGCCGTCCGGACCCTACGGTGGGCGACACCCCTCCGCCCATCATGGAGTAGATGCTTCACCGTGGCCCGGCAGGGCGCTGGTCCAGCTCTCCATGCCCGGAGCCCATCTCCGCGTGTACCTCCACGACGATACTTCTCAGGATCCTCACTGGCTCAATCTATCTTCGATGCCGATTCCACTATCTATGCGCTTTCAACAGCATCTGGACGGGCTGCCATTGCCGTTGTGCGGGCATCAGGACCTGCATGTGTGCAAGTATGAGAGCTAACTCCCGCCATTAAATGAGACCCAGCCCAGCATCAGCAGCAACGGCTAACCTCACTCGTTCACACAGATCTATAAATCTCTCTGTCCAGAAGCACCACTCCCCCGACCCCGCCTCGCAGTCGTCCGCACCCTGTACGATCCCTTTCAAAAACCCTCTCCTAATACCGTCCTCGACGCCGGCGCCCTAGTCCTATACTTCCCCGGCCCGAAGACCGTAACTGGCGAAGATGTCCTCGAGCTGCACCTCCACGGCGGCCCAGCCATTGTCAAGTCCGTTCTGACAGCCATCTCACGTACAAACAACTCCGACTACACAGTCCGCTACGCCGAACCAGGTGAATTCACCCGTCGAGCCTTCATGAACAACCGCCTGGACCTCCCGCAGATCGAAGCCCTGGGTGATACCTTGTCCGCTGACACGGAGCAGCAGCGCCGACTTGCAGTCCGTGGTGCCAGCGATGCTCTATCGAAGCGGTACGAACAATGGCGGCATCAATTGCTCTATGCGCGCGGCGAACTGGAGGCCTTGATTGACTTCTCGGAGGATCAGCACTTCGACGAGTCCACCGAGGACCTGGTGTCCTCAGTTGCGGCTCAGGTTCGGGCTCTGCGGGCCCAAATCGCCCTTCATATCCAGAACGCGTCGAAGGGTGAGCTCCTTCGTAACGGTATAAAGGTCGCTCTTTTGGGGGCTCCGAATGCGGGGAAGAGCTCGCTTCTGAATCGGATCGTGGGCAGAGAGGCCGCCATCGTTAGCACCGAGGAAGGCACCACGCGGGATATCGTGGATGTCGGTGTCGATATTGGCGGCTGGTACTGCAAGCTCGGCGATATGGCGGGGATTCGCTCGGAGCCTAACGATCCCACCGGCCAGAAGAAGACAGTCGTGATTGGCGCCGTGGAACAAGAGGGCATCAGACGGGCCAAGGCTCGTGCCTTGGAATCGGACGTGGTTATTGTGGTCGTCTCAGTGGAAGAAGCCACCGATGGTGCAGCAACGTACCGCCTCGCCGTCGAGCAGGAGGTCGTCGATGCTGCTAACGACTGCGCCCGCGCAGGCAAATGCGTCGTCGTAACCATCAACAAATGTGACCGACTACCGGAGGGTAAACTTCCCCCGCAGCTCATCGAGACAGTCAGCCAGCTTTTCGAAGCGGTCCCGGACTTGCGCCAGCGCATCTTCGGCATCTCCTGTCTAGACGCCACCAACGGCCTGAACCTAACCAGCCCCGGTCCCAGCCAGTCCTCCGATCCCGGCTACATCCAGCAATTCCTACAAGGTCTGATGACTACATTCGAGGAAATAGCCTCCCCAACAGGGATCGATGGAGATGAGAACGGACAATACGATCATGCATATTGGGAAGATTCACTGGGCGTGACGCATCGCCAAAGTTCTAATTTACAACGCTGTCTCGAACACCTAGATGATTTCCTGACCCAAACTCAACCGCAATCCCAGACGCCTCTACCCTCTTCATCTCGCCAAATCGCTCATGAGTACCCGGAAACAGACATGGACATGGACATTGATATCGTCACCGCCGCTGAACATCTGCGCTCTGCCGCTGATACCATGGCGAAGATCACGGGCCGTGGGGAAAGCGGAGACGTGGAAGATGTTCTGGGCGTTGTGTTTGAAAAGTAAGTTTTATGCTGTATAGTGTAGTAGTGTGTGTGTGTGTGTGTGTGTGTTGTTGTCATTCTTGTTGCTAACTCATCGGAATAGGTTCTGTGTGGGCAAGTGAGAGAGGTATGTATGATATCGGAAATTATAAGCGCATATTCTCTCCCATCCGGATGATGTCCTCTATAACGCGTCGTATGCTACAACGCCCCTGCGACGGGTTGCTGCTCGTTGTACCCGCCACGGCCCTGCAGCAGCAGCGGGTCAGAAGAAAGAGGTGACAGCGACAACGAGAGAGATAGGGAACGAGAGGATGAAGTCGGCTGCGCGGGCTTCGGCGCAGTAGTCTCGGGGGTGTTGTATCCTCCTCGGCCCATGGTGATGATCTTGTCTGATCTGAGTTGTATAATAGATGGTGGTGATAATGTATATGATGCAGAGAGCGATGTATATACAGTAGTATATGTTCCGCACGATGGATCGAAAGAAAGCAATCACAATCCCAAAGGGTTGTTGTATGTCAGTTGACTGATCAAGAAACAGTAGTAGCGAGTGATAGTAAGTGTATTATAGATATTAAGCAAGTAGTGGTAGTTAATAATAATATCAAGCTTCATCTTCATCCATCAGGACACAAGAACCCTCTATATATACACCTCCAAGTACTACCTCTTAATCTAAGCCCCAGCAACATCATCCACCAAGAATGGCATACTACCACCACAACCAAAACGAAGAATCCAAAGTCCCTCGAGTAATACTACATACAACATATCAGGCCCGCATCATCCCAATGATTGATGATAGCTGAATCCTCAATCCCCAATGCTACCGTCGTAGCTAAACTAATGAGATAACTAACAACACAATGTGCTAAATATAATCGAAGCCTCAGGACCAATACCTGCCTTCCGTATGAGAAAGATTCACAATTGCTTGATAAGACGGGAATCCGAGCCTGGATTCGGCTTGGTATTGTTTCTCTTTGCTTTTTTTTTTTCTCTCTCTGTTTTTATGCTTGAATGCATGACTCAGGTTATAGTATGACCTTTTTGGCTTATTTACTACTAGCGTTGGGTTGGTTCTTTTTCTGTCTTGCTTGGTTTGATTGTTGGGTTTCATCCTATCATCTGATATTGGATATTATCTTGTCGGGATGGTTTGTCAATAAGGTCAGGTCAGCTGATTATACTTAGTCACGGCATCATACGCACGGCCTGCGGTTTTAAGGTGGCGGTTAAGAGAGGGAGGGATTCACGTCAGCATATCCGTCGCGCCAATGAGGCTGTTCCGTCCCTGGGGGACATTCTACAGAGTACATAGGTGTTGGTGCTCTCGCAGTGGCTGATTGGATGCGGAAAGGTATGAACCATCGTCATCCTCAGCCACGTTTCATCCTGGCGGTTGACTAGAGCAATCAGCCTGAGGCTTGCGGAAGATAATAAACGAGTCTGAGACATGTCTTTCATTTTGACTTTGATGGGTCAAGGCTTGCTCCCGGCCACATGGCGATGAGATGCCATGCGATGCTATATGCTTATATTACTGCTATTTTTGGGTCAAGTGCGGGAGTGACTCAATCTGATCCATAGAAAGGAAGCTCTCGTATAGAGGTGGCCGTAAGGCGGATCTCTCTCCCCCCCCCCCACCTCCTCTCTCTCTGATATATGATCTAGCTACAGTGTGATGTTATACGATGTGAATCTAGGCGGCAAGCTCCGCCACATCTTCCTCCGGTGCAGTGTATACTGATGATATAGAAGACTCCGTGTCCCATTCTCTTTCTTTGTTCTGAGCCTCCCCGTCTGCATGACTCAGAGGTACTGTCCAAGATACGCGCGCAGGGTTCAGCCCATGCACATCTGTCAAAGAGACAGGAGAATCTGTGGCGCGGACGCCGGCCTTCTCGCCTGCATGCGAAAACACACTTTCCAGGCACGGGCTGCTTGGAATAGGATTTCCTCTGGGCACTTCAAAGTAATGTCGCGCCTGAGGCATCGCAATCTGTTCATTGGTTGGGGCAAAGGCCCGCTCATTGGCCTCTAGAATTTGCGGGACGTCGCGAAATTCTGAGTCTATGCGTTGATAAACGCTACTTCCTCGCCGCATATGTTCTGGCGTTTGAGACCGGCTTGCCGGGAGCCCCTGTTCTAAGGTTCCGGGCAGCTCCTGAGGACTCGTTTCTGCTGTAGGAGACGGCTGGATATGGTATACGGCGGCATCAGACATGAATCCAGAAGGTACCGGGTGCTGCTGGTTGGGCTTTAGCGGAGAGGACCAGACCGGGGAGCCTTCGGCTCCTGGCTGTGACGGGTGCAGCATTTGATATAATAAGCTTTGTACTTCCCGCTTCCTTTCAATCGAAATATCCGCAGACGGCGCAAATCCGATTCGCTCTGCCGTGAGGCCCAGATCCGCGTCGTCTTTCGCAACCATGGGACTACAGGACATGAGCAGGCGGAGCGCACTTGGATGGCCATAGTAAGCGGCATAGCGGTAGGGCTGCCACCCTCGTTCGTCCCGCTTGATGGCTGACGCCCCTCGCTGAAGAAGAAGCGTGACCACGGGCACATGCCCTCCCATGGCGGCCAGACACAAGGGCGAATCCTCTTCCGATCGGACGCCAGAAGACAGGCACACAGGTGACCCACGATCGAGCAGGTTCTGAACGGCAGCTGCATGTCCGTACCGGGATGCCACACAGAGCGCTCGATCTCCCGCGGCGTCGCGGGCGTCCAGAGAAGCTCCTTTGTCACATAGTAGATTAAGAAGTGCCATCGACCCACGAACAGCTGCGAGGTGGACCGGTCGACGTTGATCCGAGTCAGCCTGGGCCTCGATGTTGGCGCCTGAGATAAGTAAGAGTTTCGTAACCTCACAATTATCAGCCATGCACGCGTAATGAAGCGGCGTGAGGCCCGAAAGGCAGCGATTTTCAAGTGGCATATTCTTTCGAAGGAGCAACTCCACCACCGCGAACTGTGACTTCATTGCAGCCAGATGTAGGGCCGTTCGTCCTGCAATGTTAGATTTGGCCAGCAACCCTTTCTTCTGGCTAAGAAGATCAACGATCTCGGTGTGTCCATTATAGGCAGCCCAGTGCAACGCCGTCATAGCAGCATCGTCGACCGATCGAGTGGACGCCTTCTTTTTGAGCAGGAGCTGCGTCGCCAGCAGCTGGCCCAGGGCAGCTGCACATATGAGCGGCGTCCTGCGGTCGCTCCCAGCTGCATTAACGTTCGCCTTCTCATTGAGGAGCAGCTCAATAACGTCAAGATGTCCCCCTTCACAGGCGTAGTGCAGCGGCGCCATCATAGTTCCGTCCTTGGCTTCCAAATCGGCGCCGTTTTGTATCAGAATCCTGGCTATTACTATATCGCCCAGTTTAGCGGCTAGATGTAGCGGGGTCGCTTGATCATTAGCTCGCGCATTGACTTTGGCGTGGCAAGCAAGCAAGAGGTTTGTAGCTTCAGCTTGGCCATGATATGCTGCTACCCAGAGAGCAGTCTGGCCGTTGGCATTCCGTGCTTCGATATCCAAAGACTCAGGAAGAAGCAGTTCTAGCACCCTGCAATGACCGCGCGATGCCGCCAAGTGCAACGCGGTGGAACCTGACTTATCGGTAGCATCCACTCTAGCGTTTCTTTGCAGCAGTAGATTCAGCACGTCTTCATTCCCGCAGTGGGAAGCTACTAAGAGGGCGGTCCTACGGGTTGAGATATGACGGGCTTCAATGTCATGGCCACTTTCCAGGAGCCTTTCGACATCGGATCGACTGCCCGACTGGGCTGACTTGATAATTGACGGCGCAGACGCTCCATCCGACGATGCCAAATTGATGCTAGTATTTAGATTTCTTTCGTACAGCCGACGCTCCGACGGACTTCGCCCAGGAACTCGTACGGAAGCTTGCGCTGCTGACCAGCTTGGACGCCTGAGTTGCCGAATGATGGTCCGAATTTTTTCACGCCGTGACCCTGAGGAGCGACTACCCCAGGAAGCGCCACTCGCATCTGACTGCCACCTGCGGACTTGAGTAGGACTCTGCGGTAAAGGAGTCGGTGCGAACGACACGCTCTTACTGTGGCCATGGCTAGAGTCGAACGACGCAGATGGATGTATTGGAAGAACCCCATTTGTTCCGGGTGGGCTTGCACTGCTCACAGTACCACTGCCATACCCTTCATCTATAGGTGGGCTGTAATTGCGGTTGACCGCAGTTTGCGTCGGAGGATGGGTCCGTGGTTGACCGATTGCGCGCCTATAGGGAAGGGAAGTCACCACTGCCCTATCGAAGTCAAAAACCGTGTCCCCCACGGAGGATGAGCGACGAGTCAGGCTCGGACTCTCCGCCCGTGAGGGTACGTAGCTGTAAGCGGACCGTAATGTTGCTGTATCGCTGGCGACTTTGGCAATTATCTGGCGATTTTCTGCTCTCCGTAACAGTTCGACTTGTTCGGTTGATGTTCGACTAATGCACGATGTTTAGCATGCAGTGATTTATTGCTGCTTCGGGACCTTTCAAGACTCACCATTGGCAGGCTTGAAGCAGGAGCTGCAGTGCCTGAACCTGCGCACGCAGTCGTTCCTGATGAACCTTCATACTGTCCTCGCTCCAGACGACCTTTACCCGAGTACGAAATCCGACTCCGGTGTCACTTAGCATTGCACCCCTTGTCAGAGCTGAAACCTCGTCCGAAAGAACCTCCATGACAGCGCGACAGCCGTCCAATGCGACTTCAAGTCCCTCAACATACTCGTCTGGTTCGGTTGAGTCACGAACATTATAGCTAGCCCACTCATGTAGCTGCGTGATGGCCGATCGGATGGTTGTCAGCTCGCCGATTAGCGATCGGATGGTGAGGTCGGCATCCTTGAATTTGCCATATAGATGGGCTAGTGCCCCCGCGGTGTCTTTGACGTACTGAGCGATCTGAAACGCACCGGAAAGCAGACCGATTGCGGTGACAGGATCCATCGGCAGTGTAATGACCACAGCTCATTGGAAGGGCATCGGCAGCGTAGCGGGGCTGAGCATACGATCATATACAACTCAGAAGCCTGGGGTGCTCAGATCATACATGAGATAGGAGGAAGGACCGTGAAGAGT